ATGTATCCTCATTGAAATGGTTACATTCAATGACAAATAAAATCAATGTGCAGGCTGAAGTAACCTGTGTTCCTAGTGTCCAGACGTGAGTTTGCTTAAATATATGTGTGTACTTAATTACTTTGTATTAAATAGTAGCAGTCTGTATAACAAGAAGCTGGACATATGAGAAGTGAAACATTTGTATTGAGAGTAGTGGGGATGGGAGAGATGAGATATCCTTATTTGGTGTGCATGGTGAAATGAGTGTGCGTTAAACATGCTGTAAAGTTCTACTATTTCTCGCATTGCTGGAGGACTGCTTGAGAGTAGAGGTAATGTTTTCCTCGTTATTATTGATATTAAAGTAACTTACATGTATTACTTGTATTGGCCAACTGTAAACAACTATGTCGTAAACATATCTTTAAGATACCAAAAGTATGTGGAGCTGTGTGTATTGAACTGATGGGGGAGGGGGCCGGAGAGAGGGAAGTCTATGCAGAAAATGTGTGTGTATGCAGGGTGCAGGAATGTGAGACAACGAACACCAGATGTGTTTGTTTTGCCTCAAACTGAAGAGACTCTTTCTCCTGGCTGGCTCGCGCTGATTCGCTACGACAGCCCATCGTTTTTATATCTCCCAATGGATGGGCCCTATGGGAGGAGCATCCGACACAACTCCTCCCTGTTGTTCATGTATCCTGTTGTGTGCTTTGTCCGGTCTCTTTTTCCCTCCTGCTGCCAAGATAATAAGATCTAACAGCACTCGGACCAGAGCAGGAGTACTCCTTTTAAAGTGTACTTTTGTTCTCTTACCATTAAAACAGATTCTTGTTTAACCCTTTATCTGGTGCTTTGAATTCCTTCTTTTATAAATCTGACCAGCTCATCAAAGGACGCGCGGAGCCGAGGTGGGTTTCAGACCACACATCGCTCCAACAAGGCTTACGTGAACACTGTTCTACATGAACAATATGGGAAGTTTATACATTAAATAAATCAACAGTCGGTGGCGATATGCTCCAAGTGGGAGCGATTCGCCATTAAAGCAAAGAAGAAGAAAAACTCTGCATAGTTGATCTCTTATCCTGGAACCTATCCCGCTCCGGCGCAGGCTAGCCGCTCAGAATAAGTTATCTAGCCCGCTAAGAAGAGAACCAGCGCTAAGCGAAAATCGTAGCTTCGTAGTACAGGCCTCTGGTGTCCCTGAAGTCAGCAGCAGACAGGTGAGCCTGCAGGGAGAGAGCCGGTTATTAAAAGATTCAAATAAAATAAATAATGGTTATTATTTTAACCGAAGATTCAACTGATGGAAATGTCTGAGGTTTATTTCTATTTTTTAAAGTGTAGAATTCTCTTTATTATTAATTTTGTACTGTGTAGAATATTATTTATTTTTTACAGTGTAGTGAATTATTTATTATTTACAGCGTAGTGTGGTATTTTTTTTTTAAGTGTACTATACAGTATTAGTTATAATTTATTTTTTACAGTGTAGTGTGTTTACACTCAGCTGTCACTCTCTGTAAATTTGACCGTTATAATAGAGAGGTGAAGTCACGCCCATCTACTTCCGGTCCATGGACCTTATTTCGGAAAAATAATGTATTGAAGTCAATGGAGAGAGAAAGATTATCTTTCGATCCCGTTTGAATTGTGCCACGAATTACACATATGATGTTTGTCAATCTTAAAAAATCATTTCCATGTCAAAAAGTCACAGTTTGTCGTAAAACTGTTGAAATATAAGACTATGAAAAATACGCAACTAGAAAGACTACAAATCCCAGAGTCCCGGTCCCGCATGCTGGCTCTCACGGACCCGACTAACTCCCCTTGTGTTACGCTCCTCGTAAAGAGACTCAAAACTTGAACCCGCTATGCAAGAACACTTGGGACGGAGACTTAGGTGAAGTGTCAAAAATACTGGATTTATTTAAGTCCTCAAAAAACAGGCAGGAGACAAAGTAAACTCTCAACAGAGTAGGAAGAACGTGGAGCAGGGCTGAGACGGAGGTTGGGCTGGACGGAATGGAATATGGAGTTTCTGGAACAGGGACAAAACAGAACAGGATTAGTATATGAAAAATCCAACTGGAAGAGTATACAAAAAGACTAGCAATTCTAGTCAGCCAGGACTGGAGTTTACCACTGTGAGTATACGAAGAACTGGCGAAGTCTGATGATCGAACCGGAGTTTTAAGTAGCAGCAGGTGAGTAGTGGTAATCAGTGATGATGAGAAACAGGAGCGGAGGTGAGTTGGCGGGAAACGGAAAGTAGGTCAACCACGCCCAGCCAGGAAGACAGACAAACAGAAAGAAGGAGAAGGAGATACTGCAATTCCTCACAGTACCCCCCCTCAATGGGAGCCACCTGGCGACCACCAGGCTTGTTTGGATGAGCCCTGTGAAAGGCCCTCACCATGATTGGGTCCAGGACACGGGAACGAGGAACCCAGCATCGCTCCTCGAGGCCATAACCCTCCCAGTCCACCAGATACTGGAAACCCCTGCCCCGACGTCTGACGTCCAAAAGACGGTGCCCCGTATAAGCAGGGTGATTGTCGAGGATACGGGCGGGAGGAGGGGGTAAGGCCGGAGGGCTCAATTCACTGGTGTGAACCTGCTTAATCTGAGACACGTGGAAAGTGGGGTGAATTCTCAGAGCTCTGGGAAGCTTTAACCGAACCGCGGAAGGGTTAATGATCCTTAGGATGGGAAAAGGACCAATGAAGCGTGGGGAAAGCTTCTTGGAATCAGAGATGAGAGGAATGTTGCGGGAGGACAACCAGACTGACTGGCCTGGGACGTATAGAGAAGCTGCCTTTCTGTGACGGTTGGCTGATCGCTGGTTCCGTGCCGAAGTCTGGAGAAGGGCAGATCATGTATCTCTCCAGATTTTCTGACAGCGACGCACATGCTGCTGGACTGAGGGAACTGCTAAGTCTCGCTCCTCTTCTGGGAACAGGGGCGGCTGGTACCCTAATGAAGCCTCAAAGGGGGAGAGACCAGTAGCGGAGCAGGTAAGTGCGTTGTGGGAGTACTCAACCCAGGAGAGATGAGAGCTCCAAGTAGAGGGGTTTCGGTCGATGATGCAGCGGAGAGCTGACTCCAGGTCCTGATTAGTTCGTTCTGTTTGGCCGTTTGATTGGGGGTGATATCCAGAAGTCAGGCTGACTGAAGCTCCTAGGGATTGACAAAACTCCCTCCAAACTCGAGAGGTGAACTGGGGACCGCGGTCTGAGACAATGTCGGCAGGGATACCATGTAACCGGGAAACATGTTTTGTGAGGAGTTGGGAGGTCTCCAGGGCTGACGGGAGTTTTGGAAGAGCAACGAAGTGAGCCGACTTGGAAAACCGGTCTACTATAGTGAGGATTGTGGTGTTGCCCTGGGAGGTGGGCAGGCCGGTAACAAAATCCAGTGCGATGTGTGACCAGGGACGACTAGGGATAGGTAGGGGCTGGAGCAACCCTGCAGGAGACTGGTGGGAGGACTTACTCCTAGCACACGTGGGACAGGCAGAAACGTACTCCAGAGTGTCCCTGTTGATCGTTGGCCACCAGAAATGTCTCTTCAGGAAAGAAAGAGTGCGGTTTACTCCGGGATGGATTGAGAACCGGGAATTCTGGACCCACTGTAGAACCTTGGAGCGGGCAGCATCAGGAACAAACCGACGGTTCGGAGGACCATTGCCTGGGTCTGGTTGCTCTCTCAATGCCTCCAGGATGGTGTTATTAATCTCCCAAGAGAGGGCGCCTACTACACAACTCTTGGGAAGGATTGAAGCATCTGGAGGATCAGGAGAGTCAGGAGAGTATAGCCTAGACAGAGCATCGGGTTTTAAATTCCTTGAGCCAGGGCGGAAGGTGAGGCAAAAGTCGAAGCGATAGAAGAACAGAGCCCATCTGGCCTGTCGGGAATTCAGTCGCTTCGCCGACTGGATGTAGGAGAGATTCTTGTGGTCCGTCCAGACCAGGAAAGGCTGCTTGCTGCCTTCGAGCCAGTGTCTCCACTCCTCTAGTGCCAATTTAACAGCCAGAAGCTCCCCGTTACCAACATCATAATTGCGCTCCGCAGGAGAGAGGCGACGTGAAAAAAAAGCACAGGGATGGAGGATGTTATCAGCACCAGCCGTCTGAGACAAAACTGCTCCTACTCCAGTATCAGACGCGTCCACCTCCACAACAAACTGCTTCTCTGTGTCTGGCTGAATAAGGATGGGAGCTGAGGTGAACAAGGACTTGAGTTTGATGAAAGCTCTGTTAGCCTCTGGAGTCCAACAGACCGTGATGTTGACGGAGGTGAGTCTGGAGAGAGGTGCAGCTACCTTACTGAAGTTCCGGATGAAGCGACGGTAAAAGTTGGCAAATCCCAGAAACCTCTGGAGCTCCCTCCTTGTAGTTGGAACTGGCCACTCCACCACTGCCTTGATCTTTCCAGGGTCTGCCTCCACCTTGCCCTGGCTGATGATGTAGCCCAGGAAGCTGATCCGGTTCTGGTGGAACTCGCACTTCTCCGCCTTAACATAGAGCTTGTTCTCCAGCAGTCTCTGTAGGACCCTGCAGACATGGTTCTCGTGTTCCTCCTGATTCCTGGAGAAAATCAGGATGTCGTCTAAGTAGACAAAGACAAAGCGGTTAAGGAAGTCACGCAAGACATCATTGATCATAGCCTGGAAAACTGCTGGGGCGTTAGTGAGACCAAAAGGCATGACCAGATATTCAAAATGGCCCAATGGAGTGTTAAATGCTGTCTTCCATTCATCCCCCTGGCGGATGCGGATCAGATGATAGGCGTTTCGAAGGTCAAGCTTGGTGAACAGGGTTGCCTCTTGGAGAGGTTCAAAAGCTGAGGTGAGAAGGGGTAATGGGTACTTGTTCTTGACCGTGATATTGTTTAACCCCCGAAAGTCTATGCAAGGTCGTAGCGACTTATCATTCTTGCCTACAAAGAAGAACCCGGCACCCACAGGAGAAGAGGAGGGACGAATAATACCAGCAGCCACAGAGTCCGTGATATAAAGCTCCATAGCCTCCCTCTCAGGACGGGACAGATTGTAGAGGCGGCTGGAGGGTAGAGGAGCTCCAGAGAGCAGATCAATTGGGCAGTCGTAGGGTCGGTGGGGAGGAAGAGAGAGGGCCCTCTCTTTGCTGAAGACCCAACGCAGGTCGTGGTAAGTAGTAGGAACACCAGTCAAATCTACAGGATTTGGGGAAACAGAAGTTGAAGGTATGGCAGAACACAGGCAGTTAGCGAGAGAGTGCTGATCCCATTCAATAATCCTTCCCTTAGCCCAATCAATGTGTGGGTTGTGAGTACGTAGCCACGGGTAACCAAAAACCAGAGGTGTAGAAGGAGAGGATATTACCTTAAACTGGATAAGTTCACGGTGGTTTCCGGAGGTGATTAAAGTCACAAGGGGTGACTGTGCTGTGACTGAGGAGATGATTTGTCCATTTAGAGCATAGGCAGTTAACGGTTCCTCTAGCGGCTCCAAGCAGAGTCCCAGCTGTTCAGCTAGCTCCTGGTCCAAAAAGCTATCCTCCGCACCAGAATCAATGAGAGTCTGGAGAGGCAATGTCATAGAACTAACACAGAGCTTGGCGGGAATAAGAAAACGAGTCAAGGATGGGGTTAGAGATGATTGCTGTGGACTCGTCAGGACCCCCAATCTTACTGACGAGCCTCCCAGTTTGGACGTACTGGGCAGTTGGGAATGCTATGCCCAGTCTTTCCACAATACAGGCATTGGCCTGCACCTATCCGGCGCTGACGCTCCTCCAGAGAAAGTCTAGCACGACCCAGTTGCATGGGTTCCTCCTGAAAAGAGGTGCGCACGCTGGACGACGGGGGAAAAGAGGGAGGTCTAGACACCGAGTGAGCAGAGTAGGAGGAAGAACTGGGCTTACTGAGTGAGACTGGTGAATCCCTCAGTGTTCGCTCAGCTCGGCGCTCCCGCAGACGACCGTCCAAACGAGACACTAAGGAGATCAGCTCTGAGAGATCAGCTGGAACGTCTCGTGCTGCCAATTCGTCCCGAAGCTGGTCCCTTAATCCTCTTAAAAACACCGCCTTGAGAGCCGCCTCGTCCCATCGAGCCTCTGCAGCGAGTGTGTGAAACTCGAAGGAGTAATCAGCCACTGTCCGGCTTCCTTGTTGCAGGCTAAGCAGCTTATTCTCGGCGGAGCCAGAGGAGTTGGGATGATCAAAAACAGCTGAGAACCGATCAGAGAAGCCCTCAAAACGTAGAGTGTCAAAATCCACCGAAGAGTTTAAAGCCTCTGCCCAGGTTAAAGCTCTCCCGCGGAGCAACCCCAAAACAAAATTAATCCTTGTTGCTTCAGCAGCAAATGCAACAGGACGCTGGCGAAAAACCTTGTTACATTGAAACAAAAAACCTCTGCATTTCTCCACTTCTCCGTGAAATGGCTCAGGATCGGTGATAGGAAAATCTTGGCGAGGAGGGAGCAAAGGGGCTGGACTGGGAGTAGCCTGAAATGCTACCGTCGAGGTAGTGAGAGCGGAGATCTGGCACGCCAACTCGGAGACATGATGAGCCATGGACCGGTTACTCTCAACCAACGCTCGGATGAGCTTTTCGTGTTCAACCAGGAGGGAACCCTGACTTGACAGGGCATGAAGGATTGGGGTAGAATCTGCTCCGGATCCTGCGGGGTTCATTCTTGGCCAGTTCTTCTGTTACGCTCCTCGTAAAGAGACTCAAAACTTGAACCCGCTATGCAAGAACACTTGGGACGGAGACTTAGGTGAAGTGTCAAAAAGACTGGATTTATTTAAGTCCTCAAAAAACAGGCAGGAGACAAAGCAAACTCTCAACAGAGTAGGAAGAACGTGGGGCAGGGCTGAGACGGAGGCTGGGCTGGACGTGGCAGGCAGGACGGAATGGAATATGGAGTTTCTGGAACAGGCACAAAACAGAACAGGATTAGTATATGAAAAAATCCAACTGGAAGAGTATACAAAAAGACTAGCAATTCTAGTCAGCCAGGACTGGAGTTTACCACTGTGAGTATACGAAGAACTGGCGAAGTCTGATGATCGAACCGGAGTTTTAAGTAGCAGCAGGTGAGTGGTGGTAATCAGTGATGATGAGAAACAGGAGCGGAGGTGAGGTGGCGGGAAACGGAAAGTAGGTCAACCAGACAGACAAACAGAAAGAAGGAGAAGGAGATACTGCAATTCCTCACACCTTGTGTGTGTGAGCAGCTCTCAACGTGCCCAGACTTGGAGTGATTTCCACCTCTTTGAATACTTTGCCTCATTCTGAAAGAAAGAAGTGAAATGTTCCAACGTGACGTCTTGGTGTTGGTGCGAGATGGGAGATGGAGGTCATTCAGCGTTTCACACAAACAAAGTGTCACTGCACAGTTTTACGACAAACATCATGTGTGTAATTCGTGGCACAATTCAAACGGGATGGAAAGATAATCTTTCTCTCTCCATTGACTTCAATGCATACTTTTTCTGAAATAAGGTCCCATGGAGCTCCGCTGGAAAGGGAGGGACTTCGCCTCTCTATGCCGGAACCTGGCAAAAGAACTTTCAAAATAAAAGCACATGTTGAAATGAATTCATTAACGGATTTATTTGATTTCTCAGCTGTTTAAAACAATAGCTGTAATCAAAAAGAAGTAGTTCTTAAATCATTAGTTTGTTCATTAGAATAAAGCATTTCATGTTGATTTGCTTTTCTATAGCTGTTGAAACAAAATAATAATATACACATTTCTTCTGTTTGAGTTTTGAAAACAAAAGGAATTATAATAACCATAAATAAAATATAACAACAAACTACAAAGATGGAGTCTCACTCGGACAGGAAGTGGAGCAGCTGGACTTCCTGCTGTGTTTTAAACCCTTTCACAATAACGTTTTATTTGAGGCTCAGGAGCAAAATATTTAGACACAAAACATGAGGATTTATAACTTTTTATTGTTATGAAACATTCTCTGATTCCTTTCATTATTTAGATAAAAGAGTGACGGCCCCTTGCTCTCAGGTGAGGAGGAAGAAGAGACATCACTTCCTGTCCTCGGCAGCGAGCAGCACAGCGGCGGCGCTTTCTGTAGCTTCCGTTAGCATCGCCGCGGCGCGCCTCTCCGTCTGGAAACAGTTTCAATCAACTTTATTCAAACAGGTCTATTGAATGACCTGAATTCAAACAGGTCTATTGAATGACCTGAATTCAAACAGGTCTATTGAATGACCTGAATTCAAACAGGTCTATTGAATGACCTGAATTCAAACAGGTCTATTGAATGACCTGAATTCAAACAGGTCTATTGAATGGCCTGTATTCAAACAGGTCTATTGAATGACCTGAATTCAAACAGGTCTATTGAATGACCTGAATTCAAACAGGTCTATTGAATGACCTGAATTCAAACAGGTCTATTGAATGACCTGAATTCAAACAGGTCTATTGAATGACCTGAATTCAAACAGGTCTATTGAATGATCTGTATTCAAACAGGTCTATTGAATGACCTGAATTCAAACAGGTCTATTGAATGACCTGAATTCAGACAGGTCTATTGAATGACCTGAATTCAAACAGGTCTATTGAATGACCTGTATTCAAACAGGTCTATTGAATGACCTGTATTCAAACAGGTCTATTGAATGACCTGTATTCAAACAGGTCTATTGAATGACCTGTATTCAAACAGGTCTATTGAATGGCCTGTATTCAAACAGGTCTATCGAATGACCTGTATTCAAACAGGTCTATCGAATGACCTGTATTCAAACAGGTCTATCGAATGACCTGAATTCAAACAGGTCTATCGAATGACCTGAATTCAAACAGGTCTATCGAATGACCTGAATTCAAACAGGTCTATCGAATGACCTGAATTCAAACAGGTCTATCGAATGACCTGAATTCAAACAGGTCTATTGAATGACCTGAATTCAAACAGGTCTATTGAATGACCTGAATTCAAACAGGTCTATTGAATGACCTGAATTCAAACAGGTCTATTGAATGACCTGAATTCAAACAGGTCTATTGAATGACCTGTATTTAAAGAGTGGGGGGGCACTCACGGCGCTCTTGAAGTCCGGGTCGCTGATGTCTCGCAGGTTGATTATCACGTTGTAATACGCTCCAAACACTGCCGTCTCTAAAGCCTTCGCTGCCACCTGCACATTTCAAAATAAAGCTTTAATGAACTTCAAATTAAATGTTTTACTTTGAAATAGAGTTCTCATTTGGAATCTGCTGGCCGTTTCCTGTGGAGAGTTGGGTTATCATCGATGTGTTCTCACCTGAGCGTCGGACTTGCAGGCGATGTTTCCGTGGACGACCATTTCCTTCAGAGGAGCCCAGAGCAAGTTTATCCTGTCAGCCAGCGCTAAGGGCACGCTGAGCGCCTGCCTCAGGCCGTCCTGAAGAGA